ATTTAAAAAAAGAAATCAAACAAATAATTGATGTATTATTTTTTTTCTTATCCACTGTGATCAAACTAAATACCTGCTGCAGCAGTCCCGAGTCAGCGTCCAACACACAGGCATCAATCAGGATATTCTTTGAGAACAGGGAGAATAGAAGTTAAATAATGGAGGCATTATCCAATATCTAAGAATACAATCTATGATGCACTTTTGTTATTCCCACCTTCTTCTGTGCTGCAAAGATCACATTCATGAAGTTCATGTACTGTAATGTAGAATCCTCAGCAGCTTTTATTACCTGAAAAACACAATGAAAAATGGTACTGCAGTTATACAATTAAACATTGCATGTTTCACTGTTAAACCCAAAGATGTTCTTACCAAAATCCTTGATTTCATGTCCTGTCCAGCTGTAAGTAAAAGCATGAGAGTTCAGCCTAAGGGTTAAAAATACTAAGATCTATTTAAAACGAGGTAATTACAAGAACTTTACATAACTGTCACTCTAAAGTATGGAACTTATGCACAATGTGATTAGATTTTATCGCATTGTGAAACATAATCCAGGGGAAAATGTGCATACCTTGCACATCCTTTGAGACTCGATGAATGTCTGAGAGTCAAAAATTAAAGAAAATCGGAGTCTATAGCTTAAATATCATATCTAATTCACGAAACACTCTTAGGTCTAAACTGAAATAAAAAGAGAACATCTGAGCAGCTGATCTGCATAAACCAGAGGTTGAGGATACAGCACAGAGCTTTGGCGAGTGATACGGCCAATAGGCTGTCTGTTTGACTGCCATTGACCTCTGCTGTTAATAAAGAAAATAAAAACATAATTATTTTCTTGTAATATCATCCATTAAAACAATGCAACAAAAAAAACAGTCATTAGATATTAAGCTATATGCATCAAACCAGCCAGCACAAGTAATACATGAATGAAACCAAGACATTTAGTTTTGTTAAAGGAATAATTCTCCTAAAAATGAAAATTTGGAGAAGGACTTCTTCACCCGAGAAAGCTAAATTATGGAATAGGGACTCGTAATGCCAAGCAATGGCGTGAAGTTAAAAAATGCCTTAATGGATTTGTTTCTTGCAAACACACAGTGTTTGACTTCACATATGTGAATTGATGGACTGGACTTGTGGATAACTGTGATGTTTTTATCAGTTGTTTGGACTCTCATTCTGACGGCA